ATTTCTCTGTGGGAGCTGACATTTTGCTAGTACTTCATCAGGCTGGACCGCCTGCTGAGAGCCAGATTGGTAAGGGAAATGCATCTCTCTGTGGGAAAGGATAGGAGATGTATTATTTAAATACAATTTATTTTATAGCAACTTTAAAAATCAGATTTAGATTTACAATTGTTTCAGAGAATAAGTGCCTTGTTGTACCTTAGCAATTTGTGCCTGGTAATATTTAAGACTTTAATTGCTTTTCTAATTTTTAAAATTTGTTTGCTGTTTTACCTTGCTTTACTTCTACCTTAGATAACTGATAACTATCTTTTCTTCTTCCTCCCCCTCCTCCTCTTCCCCTCCTCCTCCTCTTCTCCTTCTTCTTCTCCTTCTCCTTCTTCCTCTTCTTCCTCTTCCTCTTCCTATTCCTCCTCTTCTCTCTGTCTCTCTCTCTCTCTTTTTAACAAAAGTGTGTCATTAAAGACACCTCATTCATGCTGGGTGTGAGGTAGAGGAAGTTTGAAAACCAGCTTAGAGGTTATTAAACGGTTCCCTACATTGAGTCAATATCCCAGCTATATGAATTCTAGAGTAGAAGGCTAAGGAGACTGTGTTTACACGTAAAGAAACTCGTACCTTCTTTTGTCTGTTTTTTGAATCATGAATCCATTTAGCCAAATAATTGATTTTTGTCTTAAAAATAAAAGACTATCTAAATACCAAATTTTTGTTGGTTGGAACTATTTGTTGGTTAGTTCAACCAAAAACGTCAAACAGGTTATCCATTTAGAAACAGCAAAATAAGATTGCTAACAGAAAAGTAATGATTTCTTAATATAAGAGAAACTAAAAGTTAAGAAATTGTTTGGCATGTTCAGAATACAATAATATTTGCCATCCCATGGTATGCTGGAGCCATAACTACCTGCTTGGGAAAGCCAACTGTTACATTTTCAGGAATTTTGTGAGCCATTTGAAATCACATTGATTGCTTGAAATCACCGTGGTAGGAGTATTATACCCTGGCAATCAGCAAACACTAAAACTCAGTGCATTTATCTTTCATAGATCCTGATAAACATTTGTCAGCTTAGCACTGCAGAAGGCTTACACCTGTTTTCATTATGGTTTTTATGAAGTTTGATCAAATGATATTTGACACATGGATGTATTTGGAATTAGTACCTCTCTTCCCCTGTCTTTTCTTTATTCCTTCTAATTTTTTTCTCCTTTAGTAATGTAAGTGCTCCTGAAAAATAGGGCAAGATTCAGAGAAGTAATAACTAAATGACTAAGGAATAGAAAATGAGGTTTCTGAAGAAAGGGAAATAAATGTTCAGAGGAAATGTTACTATGCTCTTTTAGGTGTTCTTTTTTTAAGAGTTTTGGTAGTGCTGATGAGCTATGGTTAATATCCACAATAGAAGAAAAAGGAGAAAACTGTCAAATTAAAATAGCAATAAGTTCAATGAGACTGAAGGAAAAAATAGCTTCATTATTATGGGAACAGCTTAGGCCAACAGAGAGTACTTCAAGAATAGGTAACTATTTTTCTTGGATATTTGGTCAACAATTGGTCTAAAGATGATGCTATTTCCTTCTCTAATTGCTAAGGAAAAAGTGGTAAACTAGTAAATATGAAAAAGACAACAATGTATAAAGGAGAAAAATATTCAACCATAGTCCCACCATCTAGAGATGGCCACTGTTTAAAAACTGCGGTCCTTTCTTCTGCAATTTCCTATATACATACATAGGTACATGTTCTTACAAATTTGAATCATTTTCTATACACAGTTTTTAATGTCAATTCAATGTCAATTTTTCTGACACACATATTCTTCTAAAACATGAACCTTAATGGCCTCAGAAGAGTCCAGTGATATTATATAATTTGCTCAATCATTCTCCTTCTAGTGGGTATTTAGGTTGTTTCTACTTTATGCTTTTGTTGTTATAAATAATGCTGGGATAAAGAAAAGGCTGGGAGCCCTTTTCTGATTATTTGCTAAAAGGTCTGACATATAAGACTTAACTGCCGTTCACAGAGATGATACATTCTTATCAAGGGTGTGAGTGTCTGTGGATCCGCCCCCACAGCCATGCCACACTATACACATGCTGTTTAGGAAGTAAAAACAAAAACAAAAACAAAACAGCAACAAAAAACCAATCTACCACAATCCAGAGGATTTTTTAATACAGTAAAATAAAATATTTAAAAATATTTTCCCCAAGTATTTGTATTTATAACTTCCAAACAACAGGATTTATAAAAAAGCCAGTATATTTAACAACAGCTTTTTGGTGTCTCCTGCCTCTAAAATGTATTACTTACATACCCCTATAAGTACTTTTACAGTTCATTATGCAGAGTAACTAGGTTTTAAAATTCTGTGAGCACCATAACAGGCTATTTAGAGAAATGTTGTATGCTTTCCTTCAAATACAAGCCACTTTTAAAATGCCACACACATTCTTTGTGAAGTATGCATGAAGCATTTTTAATGAATTCTATCATTTGGTTTCATTCATTTTCCTAAATATCTTATTATGGTGATTATATAATTTGTGTTTGTGTCTCTGTGTGTAAAATCAGATAATAGCATGTAATACTAAAATTGGACTGGACTAGAAGCCAGGGAATATTTTTGTGTATTGAATTCAATACATGTATCATTATCAAGTTGCTAATAAAATGCAAATAGTATTACTCATCACTAAAAAATCTCTCAGGGCTATCATAAAATGTTCTTCTGGGATTCGAAATCATAGAAGGAAAGAAGTGTAACATAACTATTAAAATTAATATTTTAAAGAATGAGGAGTTTGTCTTTTTCTTCACTGGTTTTTAAATGGTCTATTTACATCACTTGACAATTTGGAACAGTATAAACTTCATCACTATCTGCTTAATAATTATTCCATTTAAATTGAGTTAGACAAGAGAAAATGTCACTTCACTGTGGAAATAGCAAGTAACTACCTTTTGAATATGTAAATTCTTACCTTTAAGCGGGGTTTTTTTTTTTTTTTTTTTTTTTTTTTTTCGCTCTGTTGCCCAGGCTGGAGTACAGTAGCGCAATCTTGGTTTACTGCAACCTCCACCTCTCAGGTTCAAGCAATTTTTTAAGCAAACAAGTAGGTTAGGGACAGCCAACTGCTTCTCCAGTAAACTATTCTACTGTTTGAAATGCTTGTCAAAAGTGCCAGAATGACAGTTCTAAAATAAACTATCTTGCTATATACAGAAAGTCATCAAAGATCTAGTCCTATAACTTTAGCTTGTGGGTTCTCCTTAGGGGCAGCAGCATTCCCCAAAGTGATAATAGGATTAGCTCACTGCTAACTACTATCTGTTTACATTTTATATATGATACTTCTGGTTTTATATATTTGTTGGTTAATGGAAAGACCTAAGCACTGAAAGTTAATTCAAATCACCGTTTTCACTTCATAAAACGATAATCACAAAGGTTTGCTAATCTCTATTAGACAAATTTGAAATAGTAATGTAAAAACACAGCAGCATTACTATCCAGCCCATAGCTTTCCTCACGTTCTTAAATCACTGTGTTTCACTGTCAATGGAGTAGAGAAGGTGAAGAGGCAAGGTTACCACAGCTTATAAAGGATCACAACCAGAAAAGGGTATCGCAGGATAGCTGTTCTACTGGCTCCTTGAAACTAGTTCCATGTATCAGTCCCTAATCTGCTCCCATCTGACAAGAATGATAATTCTAGTCTAGTGGGTTCTTTTTTTAAAAATTTATTTATTTTACTTTAGGTGCATACTGTATCTGGCATCTCTCCCCATGTTCTCCCTCCCCACCCCCACAACTGTCCCCAGTGTGTGATGCTCTTCTCCCTGAGTCCACGTGTTCTCGTTGTTCAATACGTACTTCAGCCCAAAATCTTCTCAAACTGATAAGCAACTTCAGCAAAGTCTTAGGATACAAAATCAATGTGCATAAAATCACAAGCATTCCTATACACCAATAACAGACTTAAAGGCAGACAAATCAAAAATGAACTGCCATTCACAATTGCTACAAAGAGAATAAAATAAATACCTAGGAATACAGCTAACAAAGGATGTAAAGGACCTCTTCAAGGAGAACTACAAACCACTGCTCAACGAAATAAGAGAGGACACAAACAGATGGAAAAACATTCAATGCTCATGGTTAGGAAGAACCAATATCATGAAAATGGCCATACTGCCCAAAGTCATCTATAGATTCAACGCTATTCCCATCAAGCTACCAATGACTTTCTTCACAGAACTGGAAAAAATCACTTTAAACTTCATATGGAATCACAAAAGATCCCGCATAGCCAAGACAATCCTAAGTAAAAAGAGCAAAGCTGGAGGCATCACACTGCCAGACTTCAAACTATACTACAAGGCTACAGTAATCTACTTGGTTCTTAAAGTGCCTTTCAGAATAAATCTGAATAGCATACTACGGTTGAGTGCTTCCCAAAACGGCTGCAGCCGTATCTCCCAACTTGCAGGTGTTTTGCAATAAGCTTCTGTTACTTTTCTCTTCAGCAGGTAGAATCTATTTCTCCTTCCCCTGAGCTTGGCTTGCCTCATGATTTGCTTTAACCAATAGAATGTGGTGAAAGTGACAGTGTGTGGCTTCTGAGGCAAGGCTTTTCTACCTCACAAAGCTTTTGCTCACGTACTTTCGGAATGCTCCTTCTTTATTGTCTTAAAACTGTCATACTGCTGGGAAGTCCAAGCTAGCCTTGTGGAAATGTTTTATAGAGGAAAGGCCAAGTTCCCTGGTTGAGCAGCCCAGCCACACTCAGTCTGTTCTCAAATATCTACCAGCCGAAGCAGTCACATGAGGGACCCCAGGGTATATCAGCAGTATGTAGAATTAAGAGAAATGGTAAATCATTGTTTTAAGCCACAAAGTATTGGAGTAGTTTGTTACACAACACTAAATAGTGGGAACATGTATCCTAACATAGCAATGTCTTCTACAGCAGGAAAAAAAAGTATTTACAAAGCTAACAACTTTATCAACTTTGTTGGTTATTTAGTCTAGGTTTATGACTTACATATGGTACCGGATTTTCCTGTGTAACCAGGAGTGCAGTCACAACTTCCAGTTTTTCTGTTGCGCTGACCTCCATTTTCACAGGGCACATAGGAGAACCAGTACTCTTGTCCCCAGAGGCCATCTGGGCAGACATAAAATAAAAAGAGAGAGAAAGAAAGAAACTTAGACTTGTAAGAAGTCTCAAAATGGTCTGAGATTTCTACTGTTGCCTAACCAAGTTGGAAAAGTGTGTGTGTGTGTGTGTGTGTGTGTGTGTGTGTATGTATGTGTGTGTGTGTGTGTATGTGTGTGTATGACTGAGCTGCAAAGAAGAAACATCCTAGTAGCCTCCAAGGATTCATAACACTTCCAAAAATATTCCCCAAAGAAATCAACATGATGCTATATCTTGTCACTTTGAAAACACAGATACAGAAGTTGGCTTTTTGCTGAAAATGTGGTTTTTCAGAGAGTAACAATGGAAGCAATTTTGATATAGATCTTTAGTGGCAGTTGCACAGAACAAAACCTGAAAATGAGATGTAATTTGTAAAGGAAGCTCAGGAGGCATGGCACTCAGGAAGTTGCCCCCAAATGGTTGCCTAAATCCTGTTCTCCCAGACTTTGCTTCTTTTGTGAGCTAAAATAATCACACCAGAGTGTTGTGAATTAGGGACTTTATGAAAGTATACAATGCATAAGGTGGGAGAAGAGAAATAGTGATCTGCTTTGTTGACTGTTCTTTGAACTAGCAAAGGACAAGTGATGGTACAGGGACCACTGGGGGCTCGGTGAGAGGTTTCAGCGTGTGTTCTACCACAGAAACCACTGCAATTAGAAACCTGGTGGAAAGCATTTTTTAATCCAAGGAAAAGGATGGAACCTTCTTAAAAATATAACACTTATTGAAAGTTACATCAAAGCAAGTTGGGCTGTGAAGTATCTTCTTGTCCTGACAGTGTCTCTGAATAACAGAATTATAATATTTTCGATCTGTTGATTAATAATTCTGTTAAGCACTTTATGTAAATTAGCTCATATTTCCAAAAGAGAACCCTATGGCATAAGCAAATTTACTTCCATTTTATATGAGAAACAGAGGCTCCTAGAAGTTAAGAGACTTACTCTATATCACAAAACTTGAACCCAGATCTTCTGGCCTCTGAAACTGGTGCTCTCAGCCACTACATTCAAATTTACTCTACAATACTAGGTTCTCAGCACCTTTCTGGCCAATTAATCTGCCCTTAGAGATTCACCAGAGTTCAAAATTCAAAGTTCATCTGATGTGGAACTCTTCTAAAACCATCTGTCTTTCTTATCATGATCCAAGGCTTGTATAGTGTCAAAGGACCTGCTGGACCACAGAGTCCTCTGCATTCTGAGGTCTGCTTGCAAAATACTCCAGGCTACAAACTAATCAAAAGGCAAAGACACTGGCTGCTTTAATTTTGTTTTGTTTTTGTTGCTGTTTTGCTATTTCACAGGTTAGTTGTAGAAACCAGCTCTTCTGTTCTTAGAAGTCATTGCTGGTAAGCTAAATAAGGCCTGGTGCTGATTGCAGAGAACACTGTTCATTAGTGCCATTGAAATGATTTCCGGTCTTTAATTAACTATTCAACTGCAATCTAGACACAGGTTCGGTGTTAAGATTTTTAAAGATATGTCTGTCTCTAGGAGCACTTGGGCTACTTCACTCTTTTAAAAAGGAGAAAGAAAAACAACAGGCCTGATTTTCATTATGCACAACTCCTGGAGAGCTCTTTTTGCCTTGATTTCAACTGCCAATCACAGCAAGCCCATTCACCTGCTCCAGTCTGATTCATAATTTCATTTTGTGGCTAGACAAAAATATCAGAATTGGACAAAGTTATCTGATTGAAAAATAATATGTTTTCCAGAGATTGTGGTGACCTCTTTATTTTGCTGATTTACATATACTTTCAACTCATTTTCCTTCACAGTGGGAACCTCAGAAGCATTTTCCAATAAAGTATATTCAGCAGCTGCTTTAAGAAAATGTTACCAGAATAAATTACGTTTACCCAGGTTTGTGTATATGGCATTGTCTCCTCCTACATTGACTTCCAGGACATGACTTTTCCAGGGGGAAAATGAATAAGGGGCTGGCTCTGGGCTTAAAAATCAGTTGAAGCAGGAAGATGTTTAGAAATTGGCATGAGACCCACTCCCATACCACAATAACTTGTTAGTGTAATGTTAGGCTGCTGTTTCCCCAGCTTCCTTTCTCCATTGCCTAGAAAGTCATAATCCAGCTACCTAAGTAGCCTCTGTCTGTGAAATCTAGATGGGCATCACTGCTCATCCTCTCCAGTACTAAACCACTAGACAGCCTGGATCAGAGACACTCCTCTTTCCATTCAGCTCCAATCAAAGGCCATTTCCAATCCTGGCGCCTGCCTCTAAAAGTGGACCCAATGAGATGATGGTTTCTTTTCTAACCTATGATTTCCTTCTGATTTTAAACAAGGTTGCCCTTTGGATCAATGTTAAGGCAAAAAGTATCACATCTTAATTAGTTGTGATAATATTACTTATTGTTTGCTCAGTATTCCTTTAAGAGAAAAAAATGCTGTGATATTTTCCTCTGAAATATAGTAGTAAGTGCTTAATGCAAAATACATGATAATACAAGAAAAATATATAAAGAATAAAAAATGCACATTTATCTATTGATTTAAGAAAATATGTATTCAGCAACATCTGTATGTCATGCTGTTTTAGGAGTTTGGGGATACTTGGCTGAACAAAATTTTTAGATACCCTTCACTCATGGGGTTCTGATTATAACAGGAAAAGACAGGCAAGAAATACTTGACATAATCATAATTAAAGTATGTGCTATATTAGAAAATGATTAGCACTATAGGAAAAGAAAAAAGCTGGGAAACTCACAAATTACATGTTTGTTGTTGTTGTTTGTTTGTTTTTAAGACAGAGTCTTGCCCTTTCACCCAGGCTGGAGTGCAATGGCGTGATCTCGGTTCACTGCAACCTCTGCCTCCCAGGTTGAAGAGATTCCCCTGCCTCAGCCTCCCGAGTAGCTGGAATTACAGGCATCTGCCACCATGCCCAGCTAATTTTTTGTATCTTTAGTAGAAACGGGGTTTCACTATGTTGGCCAGGCTGGTCTCAAACTCCAGACCTTGTGATCCACCCTCTTTGGTCTCCCAAAGCACTGGGATTACAGGCATGAGCCACCAAGACCAGCCAAAGTTACAGTTTTTAGTACGGTAATACTGAAAATATTCAGTAAAAAAATAACATGAGACTTTTTGAAATATGAAAGAGTTATATAGGTACCTAGGAAAGAGCATTTCATGAGTGCACAAGTCAGAGACAATACTGGCATCTTGAAATACCTTTTTCCAAACTGTATATGGATTTACACACACACACACACATACACACACACACACACACCCCTATATGTGTTACTTGTAATTATAATCACACTATACATAAACTTGTATGTTTAAGATTTATTTTAAAAAGTAATACCTACAAATTTGAAAAACAAAAACACATATAACCATATTTAAAATTTTCAAAGCTTTTCTATGGTTAAATATTAATATCTTTGAATTACATTTGTTTGAATGACCAATCCTTAAAGAAAATGATCTTTAATTCTGGAAGTTAGCAGTGCCTTGGGTTGATTAGTTCAGCTCAAAGAAGTAGTTGTCTAGCTTTAATATTTCTGGATATAATTCTCTGCAATGTGATCTTTCTTCCCTTGCTCAAGCTAACAAGGGGACAGGAAGCAGCAGAGGCTAAGAAGGCTGCATTAAATAACTTTATTGCCCTATGTCTCAGTTTCCTCACCTGCTAATAGAGGATTAATAGAGTTTACCCATTTTCTGAGGGCACTGGTGGATTAACTAATTAATAATCATATGATGCTGAACAAAAGCTGAAGATTATTATTAGAGAAGAAAGAAAATCTATCATCAGAGCTTACCTTTCTGGCATCTGTTGCCTTGGTAACCAGATTTGCAGGTGCAACTACCATTTTTGGCACTGCATTCCAGGGTATTCTCCTCTACACACTGACATTCTGAAGAGCAGCCAGCTCCGTGGGCACCCTTGGGACAGTCTGCAAGCAAATTGAGACAAACTGGTCACCTGAAAACTACGCTTTGTTTATTTTAAATTGTTAGTGCACAGGCATGTAGTTCTGTGCGGCCTGATTATGGGGAAAACAAGAGGATCATCCTGACTGCCAAAAAAATAAGGAAACAAATGTCTTTTAAATCAGGCAATTCATTTGTTTTTTGGCAAATGGTTGTGAACAGTGAAGCCTGAACTACTTAAAAGGCTTTGGTGCTTCCGGGAGAGAAATTGCTTCTCAATGTGCTCCATTGGTGCTTAGAGTTAATATTCTCCAAAGAATGCTAAGGTCTGCCAGGCCCCATATTTGTTCTGCTGCAGCATAGAGATGACGGACAAGCATTTATGAGAAGGCTGGCCATGGTTTTCATTCCCTTCCATTATGTGGTAATCGGAAATAATTTCACATCATGAAGGTAACACAAAGCTTTCATGGTGACAGCAGCGTTATCTTGGCCACATCTTTAGCAAATGGTGCTTGCCTTCCTTTCGTTATTTTCTCTCTGGCATTGAGTGTTAGGGATGGAAGTCAGCACAGGAATTTTAATATGAAAAAGTTGCACTTTGCATTCAGGACAACATACCCATAGTCTTCTTTTTGATGAGTGTTAACAGTAATTCAGTTCCCTTTTCAAAATATCTCTCTGATTTTTTTTTTCCCTCCCCCATTACAGATATCAAAGTGACATATCAAGTAAAAAATCCTTCAAGTGGCCTCCAGGCTTAACGTGATAGTATTGTGTGCCCACATAGGCTTTGCTGTAGAAAGCTGCTTAGCGAGATCAATTGACTTTCCAGTGGATGGAAAGAGACATTAGTAGAGATCATTCAAAGTGGTGGTTATGATGTCATCACATACAGTCATCCTAGTCCCAATTGCCAGGGATAGTCCAGAGTTACCTCTAAAGTTATCAGCATGCTTTTCAGGTTTCCCAATGTAGATAATAAATTATATGATCCTCTATTTCCTTTTCTATGGCTTTCAAGTTTTGAATCCTTTCCTAAACCCACCAGGTCCCACGGTATCTCAGGCTACTGCCTGCCTTAATGTAGGCAGTAGGCCTCTTTTTGCTCGTTCCTAAGTCCTCACTGTGAATTGACCTTCATGCCCTATTCTTTCTGGTTAAGCACATAGAATAATGGTTCAGAAGACAACACAGTCACAAATAAATGCTTAAATGCGACCGTCTGTATATAAAGAACAAATTACTATAGGAATATATCTGGAAATAAGGAAAAGTGAAAGAAGTGACCTCTACAGGTTACACAGTGCCCATGCAGGATTTGTAATGAATTGAAATGTATCCACCAAAAATTTATATGTTGAAGTTCTAACCCTCTAGTACTTCAGAATGTAAATTTATTTGAAACTGAATCATGCAGACATAAGTAGCTAAGATGAGGTCATACTGGAATAGGATGGCCTCTAATTCAGTATGACTGCTGTCCTTATAAATAGGCGATATTTGTATGCAGAGACATGTACCACATGAAAATTAAAGTTATATTGCCACAAGTCAAGGAACTACCAGAAACTAGGAAAGAGGCCTGCAAAAGATCTGTCCCTAGCACCTTCGGGGGTTGTAGACACCTTGATCTTGCACTTCTAGCTTATAGAACCACAAGAGAAGACATTCGTGTTGTTTAAGTCATTCAGTCTGTGGTACTTTGTTATGGCAGGTCTAAAAAATGAATATATAGAGTTGCAAATTCAAGTCCCTCAAGACCAAGAAAGTAATATAAATAAATAAATCTTCAAGTCCAGGCAACAAGGCAGTCACAAATAATGAGAATGTATCTGTTTTCCCTAAAGATAGTTATATTCAGAATGCTAACCACCACCACCACCACCAACAACAACAAAGCTATTTGCTGATATTTTTCCTGTGCCTCAACTCCTCACAGCATGCAAATGAATAAGCATCTGCTATGCCAATATTATTAAACCCTAAAAACTTCAGCTTGATATTTCTGAGAAGTTAGCCCTTTAAATTTTTGGCCAGATCAATAATGATACAATTTTTTTTTTTTTTTGCCATAACATCTGATACAACCTTTTAAGATATTCCAAGGTTAATACTAAAAGTGGGATGTGTCTTGTTATACTACAGCAACAATAATACAAATATTATCTTTGTTTCTCAGTCAGTCTTCTTCTCTTGGCATATCCTAGGAGGTATATAATATTCCAGAACATACCATCTGCACCTCTATTGCTCAGTTTCTCACACCTTTCCCCTTCTCTTCTATCTTGCTTGTCTAAGCCTAATGTTTCCTCATGTTCCAGGTTCAGTGTTCTATGCCTTCACTGGCTGTCTTACTGGTATATTTATAATTTATCTTTTCTCTGGACATAACTTTTATAAAATAGACAAGAATTGTGGACATTCACTAAAAATAAAACATAAGACCCTAAGGTGTCTGTTATTAAGAGATGGTAAAGTATAAAGCAGTCCTATGGTTAGAAAGTTTTTGTCCTCCCAAAATTTGTATATTAAAATCCTAACTCCTAGGGCTATGGTGTTAGCAGTGACTAAGTGATTAAATCGTAAGGGTGGGGCTTTCATGAATAAAATTAGTGCCCTTAAAAGAGACCCCAGAGAACTGCCTTGCCCCTTCTACCTGCATGAGAACACAGTGAAAAGATGCCATCTAAGAACCAACAAGTAAGCCCTCCTTAGATACCAAATCTGGTGTCTTGACCTTAGGGTTCCCAGTCCTCAGAACTGTAAGAAACAAATATTTGTAAATTATGTACAACTTGGCTTATGGTATTCTGTTGTAACAGCCAAAATGACTAAAAAACTGATGTTCAATCAGGAAAGATTTTCAGAGGTGTTAGTCTGTCAATAAAAAGAGGAGAGGATGTGAAATAGGTAGAAGAGCAGGGTGAAGTTTGTTGCGAGCTCACAGACATTCGCGCATAGCATCAAGGTGGGATGGAGAACATTCAGAGTTATGTCACTGGGAGAAATTCGAAAAGTTACTGGTGGGTTTGAGTATTTATTAGTGATTGTGTTTTCTTGCATCCTTTGAAAAATGTGATTAATAGTCAAACTGCATAATTAGAAATCTTAGAGAATGCTTCATCACAGAACAGAGAAATAAAAGAAACCTGTTCTGGCCTGAGGTATTCAACTTTGGTAAGTATCAAATGTCCATTTAAACAGACTATTAACAATCCACTCCAATTAATTAAGGTAAACATTAACCAAATGTAAACAAAATTAGAAACATTTTTCTTTCATTCATCAAAATCTAGATTCTATAAAAAGGCTAAAGGCTAGAACATATTTGTCACATATATATATATATATATATATGTGTGTGTATAAAACTATAACTAACATTTTTTGCTTTCGTTTTTGTCTGATAGTAGCCTCCGTACTTTTCTGTGCTTTTGTGCTTTACACACAGAGCAAATTAAGTGCCTGCAAGTTACTCAGATGACAAAACCTCCCATAGCGCCCTGGCTCACACATGTGGGAGCCATACATCCTGTGGCAATGGCCATTGTTGGCACAGTTACATTTCCTTTTGCAGTTCTTCCCAAAGAACCCTTTTGGGCATGCTGAAGGGTGAGAGGACAAACGAAGAAAATATTAACTCACATGTCAACTTGCTAGAGTTATTGTTATATGAAGTCAGGAGATTGAGAAAGGTGAAATGTTTGCAATCTGGTTGAACTGAGACTAGAGAGATCTTTTTAAAACCACAAAGATGATTCTGTATCTTCTGCTTAAAATCCTACAATGACTGGTTATTGCTGTCAGGTCAAAAACACCTAACTTAGTGAGACTGGAGCCCCTACCCTTGCTGACCTCCTGTTGCACTGCCATTTCCCTGTCTGCCCGTGCTCCCCTCCGCTGGCCTCGGCAGGTTTCACAGTGCATCCCATGCCTTCCCACCGCCCCTCAATCAGGAATGCTCTTCTCCCACACTTCCCCTATTTTATATCTCCACATTTTGCAGGCTTTTGCTTAAATATCCCTTCTCCATAAGTCTCTCTCCCAGGCTCATACAGTCTGCATTGTCCTCATGGTCGGTCTCACCTGCAATCACGTGTTAGTATTTAATTTGGAATACCTACCAGTATTTGTAATTTACGGTTGCCTTGAACAAAATCGCAAGTTCCACATGGAAGCATCAGAATATTTTTTCTTTTTTGTTATCATAATGTCTGGTGCCATTCCTTTCAACTACTTAATGTATCTTTTAAATAAATAAATGAACATTGCTCACAAAAGATGAGTAACCAAAATGCCAGCAGGGACCTTACTGTACCTCAGAAAGTGAAGTAAACTTGGCTTTCCTAATTCCATCAACTATGAGAAGCTAATAAACTCCTCACGATCTGGCAATCCCTAGAGACTTACATCCTCATTGACTCTCTGCCTTCAGCTTTTGTGCCTGTACAAGCAGGTTTTTTTGTGTGTTTTATTAGCCCATGTAGGAATTGTGGCCTCTTCACTGGTTTACACACACACACACACACACACACACACACACACACACACTCTGTGCACATCGGTATTTTGTGACATTTTTATTCATCATTTCTTTTTTTCTTTTTGTCTCTATCTCCTCCCCTTTTCTTCTCTAATTTTCATCTGTCATTCTCCCTGGTTTCCCCAAGGAAATCTGTTGTTCTTCATTTTGTTATGCAGAGAAAATAAATTCTCCTAAACTCCTACATCTAAACCTGCATACATAAATGTAACTTTTTCCTCTGTAGAAGAAAAAGGCATTCTCTGTAAGAGGATTCATCCTGCTTAGATCACAGTTGGAGATTTAAGTATCACTCATTTTGTTGTTACACATGTCATCAGTCAAAACAATTGTACTCTTGTGTGTATGTATATATGTATGTGTGTGTGTGTGTGTATATATATATATATATATATATATATATATATATATAGACACAGCTTTCACAGCCTTTTACTTCTTCAGAAAAAGGCCATCATCTTGAAAAATATACATGTA